CGGACAATAAATGCACTCGGAACGGTGGACTTACATCGGATACGTTACGGTGACGGTTTCATCAATAGATAACGGAACATTAGATGTTTCGTTTACACAAAAACATATCAATAATGTTTTCGTCAACAGATAACGGAATGTTAGATGTTTCATTTACGCAAAAGCATATCAATAATGTTTTCGTCAACAGATAACGGAATGTTAGATGTTTCGTTTATGCAAAAGCATATGATTAGTTTAATATACTACTACAGATATTCAGTTTAACTACAAGTGCATAATTCCTTAAAAAATACTCCTACAATTAAGTATTTTGTAAGTTTCTCTTTTGAGTCTGGAAATAAACTTGCATGTTAGTGAGACGCTTAATCATATCACAAGTTTTCAAGTTGTTTGACTTAACATACAAATATCTTTTGATTAGTTTGAAAGAACAAAACACATTTTATTGTAGCAAGGTGACCGCCCTTGAGGAGACTATATACATGTGGTTAAGTGAGTGAGAAAGGGGAAGGAAAAGAAGAAAAAAAAACTCATCAAGGCTGATGAAGACCTCTACACACGTGGCTGCACAAGATGGAAACCACGTAGGATGTCCTTCCAGAAGGGAGGAGTGGGGCCCACAGACCTTTTGATGGGTTGTTGGGGGTCGTCCTTACTCCAGTGCGGATGAGGTCCAGATAGGCAAAGGAGGGGGTGGGGAGCCAATGTGTATGTACTGGATTCCACTGGGATTTTAGCTCATGGAGCCACGGCCGTCCATATCTATGATTTAATGTGATTTAATTTTGGAAAGTTACAAGCTTGGAATGCGATTGATAGAGATATGGTATGTACTTACTACTTTTACCCAAAATAAGAGAAAAATCCCAAAAGAACATGAAAGGGTAAAGAAGTGCATGTGTTCCCTCCACCACCTAAAGGTTGTGATCCCTTATTTCGTGGTTAAGATCGATTTTGCTTAGCATGAGACTTGTGACACAAGCGATTCAGATTCATTATTACGGCATTGAAGATTAGTGTTGCAAGTAATCTAATGATCATAAACTTCTTTTTTGTTCAAAGAAATGTGCATATGTGATTGGCTTCTCGATTCTAAACAAGATGAATACTGCTTATTTATTACAAAATAATTTAGATACTCAAACCTGATCAGATCGTATAGAGTTGTGGATGGTGGGCATAGGATTGATGCACGTATGTACATAGGGAAAGGATCCTCTATGGATCCCTTCCATCCGGATCCTCTGGACCCCTTCCATCCGGATCCTCTAGATCTTCAGGATTGCCTGCAAGCCTGACCTTGAGCAGGATTGCCTGCAAGCCTGACCTTGAGCATGGTCGCGAAGTCATTGAAGCTTCTTCTCCTTCCTTGTACAGCGCCGCGAAAAAATTGATAACGACTCTGATTCCAACGTTGCTGTCATCAACACCAACGTCGCAGACCTCGATGTGGAAGATCTCATGGTCGTTGCTACCATCGCAACTTCTTCTCATTTCAATTGTGTCAAGGCTGTTTGATCGTTTTCCTGGCTATTTGATTTTTGATTGAACAGACAGATCTAGGATATTTGGATAAAAAGGATCCAAAGAGAATCTGAAGAGGATCCTATTCCATAAACATACTCTATTGAAGAAAAACATACTCTAATGAAGAAAGCAAACTAATTATATAAATTGAAGGCTTTTCTCAGCATCCAGACATAATGCTCTTTAGCTCTTTTGTCATGTAGCTAAAGTTCCTAAACAGAAAGTTCACACCTTGACCCCATAAGAAAAAGCCAATTTAATATGTTGAATTTTGAACATGTCGATTACACAATCCTGATGTAGGAGTGACGTTCTCTAACTTGCACACTAAACACCTAGTAGTAGTTGTATGTCACACACTTATTACTAAAGCTCGTATTATAATATAATAGTACGATATATTATGAGCCTGAATGAATTGCGGAGATCATCCTTACGGGGTATATGTCAATTTTAGTTATCTAACCAAGAAACTTGGTAATACTATTGTCTCCAAAGCAAGGTTTTTGTTCAAATTTTCACTATATTTGCCTATGTGCTTCAGTAAAATGTTTTAAGGACAAAAACTTAGTTGGCCCTTGAACCAAGCTTAAAATGACCATGTTATCTCTGTTAGTTATTGCGAGCATGACAAAAATTTCAAGAATTTAATTAAAATTTCATCAGATAGGCACTAAACCGAAGGAAAGTTAGACATGCTTTTTAAGCAGAATTATATAAATAGTAGTGTCAAGTGAAGAACCTATTGCTCTGTACATGATATAGATCTATATACAACATTTTTCAATCTACCATTAAACATCATATAGTGTAGATCTCTATGTACATCAACTCTCACTTGTTCATCGCTCTTTTGGTTTCTTCATTTTCCATGGCTTCTCTTCAACCCAAACCCTAGTTGGAGTCCCAAACCTAACCTAACTGGAACACCACCACTTACAAGCCTTGAGGTTCTTTGAAACTTGACAAGGAAGCAACTTTGAAATCCAAAGCATCTACCTATGAAGGCTTTTTAGATCAACGGCAGGGGGTGCAGCAACAGAAGCACGAAAACCAACTGGTTGTTTGAGTTGTGGCGGCGTTTAGGGGTGTTTCAGGGGCTTCGGGCTCTACTTGCTTATGCATCTCCTGCTGTACGTGTGGTTCTGACTCTAGCTTTTCTGAGTCCATCTCTGCAGGGATATTTTTTTCAACCTCATGACCTGCCAACCTGAAAAACACCAACTGCTATCAGTTCAAGCGTACTGACAATTTATTGATACATATCGACAACATTGATACAAATATGTCATTTAATAAAGCGTGGACGTCTTGCACTGAGAATGTCTGCGGTGTAAGAACCATATGCAATAATTTTCAAGTATTCTATTCCTGCTATGAACAAATACCGGATAATCCCAACTGCAAGGAATGATTTTAACAATGCTTACACTGGGAACTGGAATGACTTGGTGCTGTTATTGCTCCCATCAGACCGGTATGAAGCAGCAGAATTCCGGATTTCCTTAGGTTTTATGGCTTCTGTCTTTGCAGATTCATCTGGTCCTTCTGTTTCTTCTACTGATTCATTTTCGACATTTCCCCTCACGCTTTCAACCTTATACATCTCCACATTTGCACTCTCATTTTCCTTGATTTTTGCCTCCACGTTCGGAGCCTTGTTTTCAACCTTCTCTTTCTCCACATTGTGAATCTTAATTTCAATAGTTTCTGCCTCAGTAACTGTGGGAAGTGGAGTTGGAATGTAGAATAATTCATCATGCCTTGTCAGTTCACCGGATTTATAAAGCTCTCCGGATTTGTAAAGCTCTCCGGATTTATTCAGAAAAGCAAATTGATCTCTCGAGAAGCTGTTGTTCCCCACATGAAGACTAAATAATGATTCATTTGAAGCAACACTCCAATCCATGCCTGCTGCCGGTTTACTGGAAAAAATATTCGATGGGATTCGACTTGGGTCATATCCTGCAGGCCTTTGCATTATCTGAAACTGAGAGGATTGCGCGGATGATCCGCTTTGCATGCTCCAAGGCAGAATCGGAGAAGAATAACCCTCTGGTAATGACAGGGCCCCCTGAGACTCGTGGCCTGGTCGTGTTGTTGTTACGCAGAGGTTCTTACCATCTTCTTTATCATTGACAGATGATTCCAGCGATGAACGTGGAGATGACGATGATGAGGACGATGGTGATGATGACGAGGATGATGGGAAGCTTGAATTTCGGCGGTGATTAACCACATCGCTTTCAAAATGCACCCTTGGATGCTTACTACCACTTGCGCCCCTATATGCATCATCCATGACTATATAATTTGCAACAGTTGATTATCTTCAGAGAATCAAATCTCCTTTGCCTGTCTCTAATTGATATTTAACTGCATGATACGAACAATATGAACAATAATTAACTACTTATACACAATGTGACAACAGAAAGGAAAGAACACATATCAACAATAATTGATATTTAACTGCATGGTATGAACAATATCAAATATGGTTAATTACTCGACTTCATGCAAACACGTTGAGAGCTAAATGCAACGTTTCAATAACATCACAAGCATACTTTCACATATGATAGCACTTTAAACATTGTAACCATATGCAGACGCAGGCTAGGTCAGTTGGCAGGGTAGTATGCATACACTTTAAACATTGTAACCATATGTAGACGCAGGCTAGGCCAGTTGGCAGAATAGTATGCATTCCTTGTTTTACCAAGTTTTAAACCCTCTCCCCGTAAATTAGAGTAGATTATAGAAGAAGAAAAATCATCACAATCATACATTTTTACAATCAGAGAGGCTGAATCTTTTAAAATTTCAAGAAAAACCCTAATCTTAGTTTGAACCATGCATAAAGGTTAATCACAAATCAAACCCTAAAGAGATGCATATCTTAGATTCTGGAAACTGGGTTTTGAGCAGCAAACTTACCACTAAATGGAATCTTCGAAAACCCGTTTCGATGTCGAACCCATAAATCAAATCAAACCCAGGAACTCTTTAACGTAAAAGTTGAATACCCTTGAAAATCACAATGGTTGTGATTCAAAAGATGGTACAATTTGGGGCTTGGGAACAAAAGGAGTTTGGGGTGAGAGTCAGAGAGAAATAAAGGAGCTGAAAAGGGGTGGGAGACAACCTCGGAGGGTTTCTTACTTTGTTATTGTGAAACAAAAGTAACCAACTGATCAGATGGAAGGTCTTCCGTCGCCATTTTTACTAACTGATTAACTGACTGGAACTCTGGTGAACCAAAATGCTAAATTAACGAACTAACCGGATCACGCGGGAAAGAAAAGAAGAGGGTCTAGAAGTTGGCCCATTTGTGGGGTAGGCCCATTTTGAAGCCCAAATGAAAATTGTCTGAGCCTCTTGAGGGATGGGAGGGGTAGAATTGGAAATACAATGGAATATGAGGGTGACAAGTTTAGACTACCAGAGGCTGAGTTTTAGCATGTTATCTGCAAGATCTTGTTTTGATTCACTTGCTTTTGGATTTGGAATTTTAGTACCAAGAAGCTGAAATTTGCAGGAAAAATGGTTCCAGTGGAAGGAGTTTTGAAGAAACAGTTATTCCATGGTGGATTTCTGGCTTTTAACTGTAAGTTGTTCTCTCTTTTATATCTTAGACCTTTTGAAACTAAATGTATATATATCGTAGAACAATTATGTCCTACCACCGACTGATACAATCATGGTTACGTGAACGTGATAAGAGAGACATACACATAATTGTATACAACCGATGACTCCCAATGGCCGTACAATGTTTTATGAGTAAACTGTAGGCAATGATGATGTTGCTAACTTTAGTTATTCAAAACAGTGTATTCTAACATCACTAACAGCACTGTAATTGCAGGCAAAGAAGGTACAAGGAGCCGGATTCGAGCTCCCGTAATTCAATTAATGGCGACACGAAAAATGATGAGTCTGAGTACATGAAGTACTTCGTCAGCAAACATAGCATAGTCATGTTGGCTAGAGCCTATGTGCGGCCCTCTGCAAACCTAGACGTAGTCATGTTGGCTAGAGTGGATATCTCCCTTCTCATAGTTAAGATTCAATTAAAGTAGAATACCACTTGAATCAACGAGAACAAGTTTTTACTTCAGCATGAAATCCTAGATTTAAAATTTGTGTTGCAATTTTTGGACAGGTTTGTGCAGTGAGGCGGAGAAGGATATACCATAACAGTGAAACTTATGTGTTACTGGAGCCAGGAGAGGATGAGAAGTTTGTTTCAGAGGATGAGCTGAGAGCCAAGTTAAAAGTTTGGCTGGAGAACTGGCCTGCCAAAAACCTTCCTCTTGACCTTGCAAGATTCGAAAGTATCGACGACGCCGTTTCTTATCATGGGGATGTAGGTTCAATCCAGTGGTACGAAGTTCGAATGGAGTGAGAAAATCATTCAAGCCTTGAAGATTAAAAGTTTCTTTTGGCTCAAAGAATTGAGAGTTTGGTTGTATTTACTGAAATTAGTAGTTAACAAAGCATAATCACAAATTGTAACAACTACACCCTTTTGGTTAATTTTGTTAAAGATGCTCCACATGCAGTGCACTGTGCTTTACAGATTCCACTGTGCTTTACAGATTGGAATATGGTTCCCACGTTAAGGATGTATGATTATTCTAAACAACAAGGACACATGCATAGTGGACAGCAAGGCCACTGCATGTGTATACTGACTGATGTTTCATAGACAACAAGGATGCCACTTCCAGTTGTTTTGTTTATTTGCATGCGTGTGTAGTAAACTGTGTATAAAACTCTGCTGCAATTGCAGCAGATCATTATTCAAAATATAGATTGGATCCAAGTTTAATATGGTATCAGAGCACCGATCTTGGTGACTCTAGAAAGCTCATTCTGCTTCCGCCACAAACACAACCAGTCCATCTTCATTAAACACAGCCACCATGGGCGACGAAAGACCAACTGAGACGATACCCCATGTATCTGATCCTCTCATTCTACATCATTCAGACTCACCAAGTCTTGTCTTAGTCTCACAACTTCTTGATGGACACAACTATGGACAGTGGAGCCGTTCTATGCGAATCGCCCTCAGCGCCAAAAACAAACTAGGGTTCATTGATGGATCAATCAAGAATCCCGCAACCACTGATGCCAAGTATCCAATTTGGCAGAGATGTAATGACATGGTCTTGTCCTGGATTTGGCAATCCGTGCAGGGCAACATTGCCCACAGTATACTCTACTGCAAAACTGCATCAGCAGCATGGAGAGATCTTGAGGATCGTTTCTCGCAAGGAAACGATTCCAGGATCTATCAAATTCGACAAGAAATTGCCGAACACCGACAAGGATAGCTATCTGTTTCAGATTATTACACAAAATTGAAAGCTCTCTGGGATGAATTAGTATCATATCATGGGCCCATTGCCTGTGAATGCGAGGGATCCAAGGCACATGCAGACAAGGAAGAAAAAGAGAAAGTCATGCAGTTCTTAATAGGTCTGAACGAGAGTTACTCAATCATACGAGGTTCTATCTTAATGATGAGCCCACTTCCAGATACACGACGAGTCCATGGATTGGTTCTTCAACATGAACACCAATTGGATGTGGTAAATCGACGTGAACCTATCGCCCATGCAATGCAAACCAGTCATTCAACAGCACCAAAATGAGGCTATGGTGCCAACAACCCTAATTCACGGAAGATATTCAACTGCAGCTACTTGTGAATTAAGTTGGCTGCGATATTTGTTGAAAGATTTACGTGTTGAGCATTCCCAACCGGCAAAGTTATTTTGTGCCAACCAAGCGGCTTTACACATAGCTGCAAATCTTGTGTATCATGAACGCACAAAGCATATTGAGATCGATTGCCACACTGTTCGTGAGAGGGTTGAAGGGGGAGAAATTAAAACTTCCTATGTCGGAACGGGAGAACAAGTCGCAGACTTGTTTACTAAGCCACTGCGTGCGCCTATTTTTCAAACGCATCTAGGCAAGTTAGGCGTCATTGACATTCACGCTCCGACTTGAGGTGGAGTGTTAAAGATGCTCCACATGCAGTGCACTGTGCTTTACAGATTCCACTGTGCTTTACAGATTGGAATATGGTTCCCACGTTAAGGATGTATGATTATTCTAAACAACAAGGACACATGCATAGTGGACAGCAAGGCCATTGCATGTGTATACTGACTGATGTTTCATAGACAGCAAGGATGCCACTTCCAGTTGTTTTGTTTATTTGCATGCGTGTGTAGTAAACTGTGTATAAAACTCTGCTGCAATTGCAGCAGATCATTATTCAAAATATAGATTGGATCCAAGTTTAATAAATTTTACCTAATAAAAATTGAACACGTGATGAGATTATCCCACATTGTAACATCCTACTAGAAGAGCATATATGAGTTCTCACTTCACCTAATAAAAACTGAACACATGTTAGGCTCGAGAGACTAAAGAGACATGTTGAGAGTATCCCACATTGGAGATAGAAGTTTGACATAAAATGTATAAACGGTCTTCTGTCTAGACACACACACATTGTCAATTGGTTTTGAGTCGGAAGCTCGAATTCCAAAAGAAACAAGGCATGGTTTCAACCTGAACAAGGGCAAGTACAAAATCATTGACACAAGTTTTTGGCACAATCAAACATGAGTGAGTGAGCATGAGGAATTTAGGACACGTTGAAAAATCTCATTATTCATTCACCAGAAACACAACTGTTCCAAAATGCATCAAATTCCACCAAGTCTGAAACAGTGAAAGTTGAAACAAAAAAAGAAAAAAGCTGTTGGAAAAAAGTCCCAAAAGTGCTTCTCCTCATAGCCTTCAATTATTGCACCCAAACTTTACTTCTGAAGCTGGACCACATCCCACACCTGCAACCCCTGAATCTGCAGCAGTGACCCAAAAAAACCCAATTGAATTTCCTGGATCAAGGATTTTAATAATGTTTATGCAGTGATACAATATGTATGTATGTGTGTATGTATATACCTTGAGGAGGTTTGAGTAGATTTTTGCTAGGGGGCAAGAGGGCACCACCCTTTCTGTTTCTGGCAAGAAGGCCTTTTGTTACAGGGGACAATTTCATATCTGTTGGGCTTGTATACCTACAAAATTCAAGAAAATATATAACACATAAATGATAAATCTTGTGTACAGGATGTCTAATAAGAACAGACCCGCATCAATATCGAGATATTATCGATAACATATATATGTGTGTTGCAATCTTATATGTCACTGTGAATGGAAGATTTAATACCTTTCTGGGAATTTAAATGCCTTGGGAACTTTAAGGCGGTCCGGCGTGGTGGTTTTGCGTAAATTGTTGCCGGAGTTTTGAGAATTTTCATCCTTGTGTTGGAGTGGAGGCGGTGGCGATTTGTACTCGGAATATGTCTTCTCTGATTGAGTTGGACTCGTAGGAGGCATTTCTGGTAGATTCTCCATAGTGTGATGCGTGAGAGAGAAGATTGAACTGAAAATTTTAATAAATTCAGGTGGAATTTAAATACTGAGGGGAAGTGTGCAAATTTGATGTGTGAGGTTACCGTTTGGAATGAGGAATATAAAAAATTTCAACGGTCGAATTTAGGGTTTGTCAGGATTAGGTTTTGGTGGAATTTGAGATTCAAAATAAAGTTAGTAGGAAATGGGGGATAATAATTGGTTACTCACCGGGAAGGACCCAATATACTGAACCTAAGAACCTATAACCAAACACCCAACTTTAAGATTGCTCCCGTAACCAAACAATCAATATCTCTCCTCTCTCGTCCTCGGCGGCTCAGCGCATGCCGCAGATCCGATTGATTCAAATCCAACCCGAATTTCTCAACCAATCTCTCTCCTCCGTCGAACTAAACCCTGCCCACTCGTACCCAACCTTCTCCTTCACCATGGCACCACTTACGCACCTGCTCGCTCGTTGGTCGCGACTTGGCTCCGCATCCTCTCCTTGCCGCCATGATTGCACCGAGAAAAAAGATCGATTTGGGGCGGGTTTGATGGAAGAGAGATGAAGGAGGAGGATGCGTGGATGTGGTCGACGGAGGTGTTGGTTACAGAAATTGTGTGCGGGAAATAATATTAAATGGACAGATGTCGAATTTTTATTGGTGATCTGTAAACAAGGGTAAGTGTTGTCCGGAAATTAGTACTTCGGGTGGAGGCCCAACATCTTAAAGTCCAATTGAGAATAAAACTGCAAGACAAATCAGCATGCATACCATATCAGACCACAGGAAGAAAAAATATTTGCATTTTGAAAGTACAAAATGTTTTTTTTCGAAATCCGGATAGCTACACTTACCACGTATATTTGTATAATTTATTTAATAGAGATAAAATCCACAAATACATATGAGTCTCATATCTTATAGAGAGATGATACAAATATATAATGTGAAGGTGGGAGGGTGGATAGAGGCTCTTGAGTTTTTCAGATCATTTATTCAAGGGAGGCCTCTTCCAAAATCCTCATGAAAATTGGAAAAAAAAAAAAAAAAAAAAAAGATAAATATATAGACATGAACATGAAAAATTATTCCTTGTCTATTTTAACCCCAATTGGTCTTCTGTATTTTTATTGTCCTCCTTAGGTAGACAAGAAAATGTTCCACTAGTGTTGAGAAACAAGTGGAGAGAAAAGAGAGAGTATGATTATGTTTGAGAAACAAGATAATGATCCATTGATGGGGGTGTTTGATGCTTATTTAAGTGCAATTGATGATTCAAATATTCAAACAACAAAATACTTAGGTCAAAATCAGACATTGGAGTCTAAATCTACAGTGCTTGAATCGTCTCGTTGGATTTGCTCTTGTTATTGTTGGAGAATATCATCCCACATCTGTTATATAACAAAATAATGCATAGTTAATATTTGGGAGTTTTCACCCCTAATATCATCGAGACCCTTTTGTGATAAAACTCAATACCTAGTAATAGGTGGTTAACTTGGGGTAATGTCATTTATGTCGGTGGTGGATGCATAGGCTACAAAAGTTTATCATGGTATCATAGCAAGTCCTCCATTTACTAGGATCAAATTTGCCTCCTTAAGTTGGGTTTTCGAAATATTGTGTTAACTCCAGTTTAAGGGTATTAAATGACTAGACCCTCGAAAAGTTGCATTGACTATAGTCTGTGAATGATGATCGTGCTCTCGAAAAGTTGCATTAGCTCCAGTATAATGACTTGACCCATTCTCAACGTGGGAATTGGTTTCCAGTGTGACCCCACATCAAACTCAACACTTAGCAATGGATGATTAAGTTGAGACATATCAATACCAGTGATGTTGAACTTATATTTATCAGTTGCGTTATTCTTGGATGCATTCTTCCATATGTTCTACATTATAAGTAGCCAACCTTATAATGTAGATAGTGCTATAATTTTAAGTAGCTATAGGTTTAATTAAATAGTTGGTTTTCTACTTAAAAACTTGTTTTCTTTCCAATTAGTCGTATGCTAATTGAATTCACAACCAACATTTCGTATGATATATTAAACGGCGGTTGTTAATTAGATGTTGTAAACTACTTTGTCCTTTTAATATATACTTTCGGTTAGAGCTTCAATTGGATTTCATATACTTTCGCTTTTTTTTATTTTTTATTTTTTATGTCTATTTCTTCAATTTTTTAGAATGAGGAATAGCTGGTGGCTTTATCACGATAATTTATTTTTGGGAGGTTTAACAAAACACTCACAGTACTGTTCACTTTTAACGAAAAACCACATTTTTATCTTTCTCTGGTACTATTCACTACACCTTTATTTGTCATTTTTTATTAAAATAAAAATTTGTTTTTTTTTTTTTTTTGAACTTTTCGTTAGTTTTCCTTTTATTTTTTAGGGTCTGAGAAGATTCAAAAAGATATTTTAGCTTTTCCTTACATGTGATTTATTAGCGTTAAAAATTGAACTTAAAACGTATCATGTAGGATATGAGCTTGGAATTCGTCCTGATATGGTATTTTAGAGACGTGTCTTTGGTGTGAAATTACAAATTCATGAATTTGGAGGTTGACTTGGACTTTTGAGAGTTTGGTTTTGGAAGCAAAACATTGTATAGAGGACAACAATGACTTCTTCTAGAAAACAACCTTTTGAATAAGAAAAAGATAAGAATAAGTTTTGAATAAGAAAAAGATAAGAAGATGTTTTGTTTGACAAAGGGAAAATTACTACAACCACACACACACACACACATATATATGTATATGTATATGTATATGTGTGTATATGTGTGTGTATATGTGTGTATATATACATATATATAATATAATATATATTTTGTGTAAGTGGAGAAATTGGAGGCGATGACTATGGTGAAAAGGAAAGGTAGTGAAGGTGAGACAACGGCAGATTTCTCTGTAACATAGTCAATATATTGACAGTGCTCTAACTTTTTTCATTTCGAAAATGACTTCCAGGACAGGAATTCAAAAGTCATTATTATTTTAATTATTAGAAAAATGTCCTGAAAAAGAAAGTTATTAGAAAAATGAAATTACCAAGACCCATCTTTAATTGAAAAACAAATACCTTTTTTTGAGAAGGAAAATCGAATACCTTATGCAATAAAATTGAGTACCACCAGTTTTGGTAATACGGAACTAGCATATGGGAACACACATAAACTGTGTGAGAATTTTTTTTTTTTGTTTTGTTTTTGAAATAGAAGAAGAGAGGAAGGGAGTGATAGAGAACGTAGGATTGAGAAGTTTTTATTTTATTTTATTTATTTATTTTTTTTATAATTAGAGATATGTTAGGATTACATATATATGAGGTTTTGAAGGAAAAAAAAGTAAAATTTAGTTGTGTGAAATTACATTTCTGCCCCATATTTTTTATTCTGTTTTAATTAGAGAGTTAAACTGATAATTTCATAAAGTTTTGATTGACAATAAGTGTTTTATTAATTAGTAGAGAGATATAGTTACTAAAAGTATTACAAGATAGCTTTCTTGAAAAATTTGTGAAACATTCATGCATGAAAAGTAAGCACACACGCACATGTTTAACATGCATTATGTTTGATTTAAACAAATTAGTATTTTAATGAATTATTGAAATGTTACTGAAAATATAAACACTTTTTTAAAACTATGTTAATATGTCTATATACACGATTTTATTTTGTTAATGTGCATACGCGAATTTAAACTAACAAAATAAATTTCACCAAATTTCGTTCGCAAAATAATGTCATTATTTAATTGATTCACATATGTTTACTAGAAATCTAGTTATTAGTACTTACAAGTAACATATTAACATACACATTAATATTAACGAATCATTTAGTGAACAAATTCGAGAACTAAATTTGACAACTCTGGTATTATTTTTAAAGATTACTTTGGCATGAACTATATAAAAGAAAACTAGTGATTTAAAAAACAATAGTAAAGTATATAGAGGTTTTTGGTTTGTGCAAATATTCTTCAAGCACAAGAAGTTGGTGTGTGTGATTTATATCAAACAAATCGAAATATGTGATTTTATTAAATAATGTCCACCTGAGAAGTGTAGGCACCACCATGTTAACTGGTAAGACTAACATTGTACTATATTTCTAATAATACGTCACATTACTATATTTTTATCACATTACTATATTTTTAATAATACGTCACATATTCGGTTTTTAGATACATTGTTCATATAATATTATTTTTTATTAAATATAATATTGTTCGTTAAGCATCGCAGGATGTTGGCTTCTAGCGTTTCGAATTCAAAAATTATTCTTCTATCACACAAAAAAACTGTTGGGCAATAATGTAATTTTACAGGTTCAAATTTTATTATTTTTTATTGAAACCTCACTTACAAGTGATGTTAAAATACCTTCAATATTAAAAAAAAAATTCATTATAAAAAAAACAAGTCATAAACAAAAATCTCTCACTCTCCCCACGTTCTCTCTCCTCCTCTTCTTCTCATTTTCAAAAAAAATTTATTCATACATCTAAAATATATAAAAAATATTAATTTTAATTATTATAATAATTTTAAACCATCTGTAACATTAATAATAAACTGAGAAAAAAAATAGCTTCGTAGTCTGTATTACTAGTCAGAGGGTAGACTCAAACCGAGAAGGTCAAAGCATCCAAACCGCAGTTGGCGTTATTGAAAACAACAGACCGTAAAATTCAAAAGACAATTCGAGAAAGGTTACGCAAAAGTAGAGCCCAATAATTCTTATCCGAGAAAGTTGGCTTCTTTGTGTTTTCCTAGATACACTGTCCGTACAGTTCATCTGAATGCTTTTGCTGGCTGCTAGATCGTTTTGCTTCAACCATTTTTGAAGCACAATTTTGGGGTCTTTCGTTTTTGTACGTATTGCAAATCTGCAACCTGCAAAAAGTTCGAATCCTGCAAAGAGAAAGAGGTAAGATTTCTTTTTTCTTTTTTTTTTTTTCTACTGTTAATTGCTTTTTTGGGTTCAACTTTGGGGTTGCTTTTTCTGCATCTTATTGTTCATGGTGATTGCCATTTGCCACTGATGACCAACTTTTTTGAAAAGACTGGTCTTTTTTGCTAATTCGGCGATAAAAAGATTGCCCCTTTTTCTAATTTGACGAGTCCTTTTGATTGCAGGACTTTTCTTATCCTCAATGGCCTTTTGGGTTCCCACTTAATTTTGGAGAGTGGTGTTTGTTGGGTATTTGCCAATTTTCAACATAGACTACTTAAGTGGATGCAAAAAGCTTTGATTCTGCAGTTGTTCCACCAAAAGGGTATCTTTTACTTTTCTGTTTGTTTTGGAAAAATTGGAGGGTTTTTGGTTCAATTGCTGAAGTTGTTTCTTGTACCTTGGTAAGGAGTCCTTGATCCGAAAACCGAAAAGATTTGAGTTGGATTTGTTGGTTCATTTTTGGGTGTGTTTATTGTATGTTGAGAGGGGATTGTAAATCTATGAACCCGGAAATGGACGGAGAATGCGATTTGATTGCTGCGGCGAAGAACATAGTGAGGGCATTGGGGTCGAAGAAGAACCTTACAGATGGTGAGAGGGAGATTTTGGCTAATCTTGGCACCCAATTGTCCAGCATGATGGGACTCAGTCGGAGAAATGATGAGAATGAGGATGAGAAGATCAGTGAGGTCGAAGATCGCCTTAATTCGATTCAGGAGAGGATCATGAGTTGGGAGGCTGGTCAGTCAATGATATGGGATTCGAGCCAGAATGAGTCTCTGGAGTATATGAAGGCTGTGGAGGAGGCTCGGAGATTGATCGAAAGATTGGAAAGATCGTGTTTGGATAAACATGATGAAGAATGTGAGGTGTTACATAGAGCTCACGATGTTCTTCAAACGGCAATGGCAAGGCTAGAGGAAGAGTTCAAGTACATGCTTGTTCAGAACAGGCAACCCTTTGAACCCGAGCACAATTCTTTTCGTTCGAGTGAGGATGATATTGTGGATGGAAGCTCGATAATCTCTTTTGGGGATGATTCGATTGAGGACTCACTTCAAAGGGATAGTGTCAGCAGAGCGTCGGAGGAAGTCATCATTGATTTGGTTCATCCGGATATAGTTCCTGAGCTCAGAGGCATTGCAAATTTGATGTTCAATTGCAATTATGATCAGGAGTGCACGCAAGCTTATACCATCATCCGAAAGGAGGCATTGGATGAGTGCCTGTCCATTCTCGAAATACAGAAGCTGAGCATTGAGGATGTGCTGAAGATGGAGTGGGGCTCCCTGAATTCCAAAATCAGAAGATGGGTCTGGGGTATGAAGATCTTCGTGCGAGTTTATCTAGCCAGCGAGAGATGGCTCAGCGATCAGATTTTTTGGGAGCATGGAGAGATTTATTTGGATTGTTTTGTTGAGGCATCAAAGACTTCAATGCTGCAGCTTCTGAATTTTGGTGAAGCCATGTCTATTGGCCCCCACCAACCGGAAAAGTTGTTCCGCATTCTTGACATGTATGAGGTGCTTGCAGATGTTCTTCCTGACATAGATGCTTTATACGCAGACGAGGCTGGTTCTTCTGTAAGAATTGAGTGTCATGAGGTTCTGATGAAATTGGGTGAGTCTGTGAAGGCAACATTTAGTAAATTCGAGAGCGCCATTGCATCAAACCCCTCGACTAACCCTGTTGCTGGAGGAGGAATACATCCTCTCACCAAATATGTGATGAATTACTTGAGGATTCTCACAGACTATGGAGAGACCCTTAATTATCTCTTCGAGGACAGTGCTGATGCTGATTCCATTTCGCTGTCGCCTGACACGAGTCCTACCTCAGACGAGGAGAACAAACCCACTGATTCTCCAGGCAGAATTTTCCCAATGGTTCGCCACTTCCGATCACTTACTTCAACTCTGGAAGGCAACCTTGACGAAAAGTCCAGGTTATATAAGGATCCTTCCTTGCAACACATATTTTTGATGAACAATCTACGGTACATGGCTCAGAAGGTTAAGGGGGATGAACTGAGGCCCATATTCGGAGACGGCTGGCTTAGGAAGTGCAACGGGAAGGTTCAACAGCAAGCATTGAACTACCGGAGATCTAGTTGGAGTTCCATCCTTAATTTGCTCAAAGAGGAGGGCATTCAGAGTCCCGGTTCAAATTCTATCTCAAAAACCCTCAAGGAAAGGCTCCGCAGCTTTTATCTTGCGTTCGAAGAGATCTACAAGAGCCAAACAACATGGTTCATTCCGGATCGTCAGCTTCGAGAAGATGTGCAAATTTCAGCATCCTTGAATGTAATCCAAGCTTATAGGACATTCGTGGGAAGACATTCGAACGACATAAGTGACAAGCTCATCAAGTACAGTGCGGATGATATGCAGAATTACCTCTTGGATCTCTTCGAGAAATCCCCGAAATCATTACAAAATTCCAGCAGGAGGTGATACAGCAGAGGAAGGCTTTTCATTTCATGCTCATATATGTTTTGATTGTTACAACAGGCCAGGATTCCCCCATGAAAATTGAAAAGGGATTCTTTCCCTCGGTAGTTTTTGTGTTTGTAACGTTTGTAATGTGATGAATTCAGTTCACTTTTCTGACATCTGCATTGGATATCCTAACTGATATAAGATTGAATGAAGCAAGTTTTCGCGTGTATCATTTGTAATGTGATGAATTCGGTTTACTTTTCTGACCTCCGCATTGGATGTCCTAAATGATATATGATTGAACGAAGCAGATTTTCGTATGCAACTTTATGTGTTTTTGCTGAATCTTTTTCTAAGTCTGTCAAAATTGGGTGGTGATTCTGTCATAAAGTCCTATGCTTTAGCTGTTGAAGCAAACTCAAGACTATGATACCATGTGAGTAGATTTGGCCCCAGTAGTCCATTACAAGTCAAAGTTTCATCTCTTGTAACTGGTGATTCATCATAAGATCACGTGACGCTTGAGACAGATAAATGATAAATCTCTGTTTTCACGAAAAATTCTTCAGAAGGGCTTGAAAAGCCAATGTATTTGAAGTTGAGGAGCTCCTTTGCATGTAACCAGAGATATACACCATTATTTCTGTCTCACTCGTCACATGAGCAAGTGTTTTACTTAAAAAAAAATAAAAGAAGTCACGTGAGGAGCAAGAGATACATACGTGGATATATTCCCGGCTGCATCCGCGTTTTCCTCTCGAAGTTGATGTCCAAGTCGCAGTAAGATTGTTCAGCATTTCATTTTTTCTGGTCCAGTCCAGGTTACAGAATTTTCTAATTCAAATTTGACAAGGACTCAAGGACTGGACTGCTAACTTTTATTACCTGTAGGTCCCTGAAAAAGTTTGCTTTTATTAGAGCAACTCCAGCGTTGGAGCCCTCCCCCCTGGCAATACACTATTCAATCCACCTAATGAACAGTAATTGCCCTTAATGAACAGTAAGTAGCCCTGGCAATAGATTTTGCATCTCCACCGTTACACTTCTATAGCCCTGGTAATAGGCAATAAAATATTAGTATTTTTTTTATTTATAAAATTAATACAAAATAATTTTAATTGTAATATCGGATAAGATTTTTAATCGTTCTCGTTGCGCCACATGTCATTATCCGAAGTATTATTAAATAATACAAAATAATACAATTATTGGTGATGGATTTCTGATAAGATTATTAACCAATCACGTCGCGCCACGTGTCATAATCGGTTCACAATCTTTGAGGATAGATTTCCATCAGATTTTAAACGAATGACGGCATGCCACGTGTCATAATCTGTTAACAATCTTTGATGATAGATTTCCATCAGATTTTTAACGAATGACGGCATGCCACGTGGCATTATGCAGAACCTAATCCTTTCTGAATCCTCTATATAATCCACCATCCATCTTCACAAATCTCACACCAAAATTCTCAAGATCTCTATCATTATTCATACTTTCTGCTTCCTTATTCACAAAAATCAGTATCAATATTCATAGTTTCTGTTTCTTTCTTTCAATGTCTTCTTCTTCTTCCTCAAGGATGATGTGGGAATTGAATCAGGAAGAGGAAGACTTGTTTAACCAATCAGAATCAATGTTCAATCACCAGGGGGTAAGAAATGAGAGGGAAGAAGATGAGGAGCGTCAAATGAGAGATGACGAAGTAAGAAGGGGCAGAGCCTCACATTCCCGTCGAGTCATCCAAGCTGCGGCTCAGATCTGCAGGCCCAGACGTTCCGGAAACCTTGATAGAAGCAGGCAACGACGAGGTATGGAACTCTTGGATGATTATTTTGTTCCTAATAGTGCATTCCCTGATACGTACTTTAGACGTCGTTTTAGAATGGAACGACATTTGTTCAACAAAATCATGATTGCTGTTTGCAACCATGATTCTTATTTTGTGCAAAAAAAAGATGCTTTTGGTGCTATGGGTCTACTGCCGGAGCAAAAAATTACTGCTGCCTTGCGGATGCTTGCATATGGAGCATCTGCAGACCAAGTGGATGAGATAACGAGGATGGGGCAATCAACCATTCTTGAGTCCCTGATGAGGTTTTGCGGAGCAATCGAATCTATCTACACCGCTGAGTACCTCCGCAAACCCACACACATGGACTTGGAGCGGCTGTTGAAGAAGGCGGAGATGCGTGGCTTTCCTGGGATGATTGGAAGCATTGATTGTATGCACTGGACGTGGAAAAACTGTCCAAGTGCATGGCAAGGCGCTTACGGGGACAGAAAAGGGGCAAAAAGTATCATTCTAGAGGCGGTGGCATCTTTTGATACATGGATTTGGCACGCCTTTTTCGGGGTCCCGGGAGCTCAAAATGACATCAACGTCCTTGCCCAATCCCCAGTGTTCAACGATGTCCTGCAAGGAAAGGCACCAAAAGTTACATATGAGGTCAACGGACGTATGTACGATGGGCCATACTACCTAGCTGACGGCATCTACCCGCGCTGGTCAACATTTGTCAAAACAGTGCCACGTCCGCGGAGTGCGAAGGAAAAACACTTTGCAAACTGTCAAGAGGGGTGCAGGAAGGATGTGGAGCGTTGTTTTGGTATCCTCCAAGCTCGCTGGGCGATCGTCAGGGGTGCTGCCAGATTGTTTGATGTAGAGTCGCTTCGATCCATCATGATGACGTGCATCATTCTTCACAACATGATTGTGGAAGATGAGTACGATTATGAAGCTGTTGATGAATATGAGCCAGACCCGATGAACAATTCAAGAACACGTATATATTGTGCTCATGACGCCACCGATGACCCCGTGCAACATGAGCCATTACAAAGGGATGGACGTTACAATGAAAAGCTCATTCAACGATATACTGCATTTCAAATGCCAGACATGCACAATGCCCAACAAATTGACTTGATAGAGCACCAGTGGGCATTGAAACAAGCTGAAGATAATTAAGTTCATTTTAGTGTGTTATTTTGAATTTGGTATGTTTATGTTATTTTTTTTGGTGTGTTTTATTATTTGGTATGTTTATGTAATTTTTTTATGTTTATGTTTATGTAATTCTTAGTATGTTTATGTTTATGTTTATGTAATTCTTAGTATGTTTATTTAGTATGTTTATGTAATTTTTTTATGTTTATGTTTATGTAATTCTTAGTATGTTTATGTTTATGTTTATGTAATTCTTAGTATGTTTATTTAGTATGTTTATGTTTATGTAATTCTTATACAATGACTTTTAATTAGAACGATGGTCATGGTCATGGACTTTTAACAACATAAATAACTTACCAAATTAAATAACTTACCAAATTAATTCTTAATATAAATAACTTACCAAATTAATTTGAATAAATATTCATGAACATGGAAACAACATAAATAATACAAACAATAAATAATAAATTATAACCCAAAGTGATTGGAAAATTATGGGCTCCGATTACAAAAAGTACTCTATTCATCATCACTTAACCAATTTGTGGTGCTAGGATGATCTTCTCTTGCGGTGCTAGAACCACCTTGGCTTGCTATTGTTTCTCTTGCACGCCTCCTTCGCACCACGTCCGCTTTCTCTGACTTCCAAAAAAATTTAGAATTTGGAGACTTCCCTTCTAAAGACATGTTCATAATCTCACGATCTTGTTGAGCTCGTCTTTCTTCTCTAACATGTTCCCTTTCTTGCCTAAGTAGCTCTCTTTCTCTCTCATTAGCATAAAATTCTCTCTCAACAGCTGCTGCTTTTGATGCCTTATCAGCCTTATCAGCCTCATCTTTCGCCAGTTCCCTCGCCAAAGTCAATTCACCTTGGTGAGTAAGTTCTTCCATGAACTTTGCATAATCGTTCTTGGAAGCACTCCCTTTTCTCTTTGAAGCCTTCTTACCTTGAGGCCTAATTGGAAAACGGGTCGAACCCGACGCTTGTTCAGGGAGGGGCGTTTCGGGCACTTCTTCTGCATCATCTGCTCTCTCATGATCGGGTGTAGAGTGTAGAGGGGTGCTGTTCATGTGCACTTCTGGACCAACTGGCACAACTCTAAATTTAGGACAATCTTTGACAATATTCCAACATTCCCACCGGTTGAATGATTTATTTTTGCTTTTGGTTTTGGCAGCGTACCAAGCTTGTGCTTGAAGTTCCTACACAATAAAAATAAGTAACAAATAAATAATACAAATAAATAATTATAATGAAATTAAGTAACTAGCAAATATATACATATATATATATATATAAGTAACAAAGATAATGAAAATAAGTAAGAAGGCTTCAAGTTTAGTAAATAATGAAAATAATTAACAAATAAATATATATATATATATATATATATATATATATGTCATGTTAACAAGCAAATATATATATATATATATATATATGTCATGTTAATGTAAGTGATATTATACATTAATTTTAATGAAAATAAGTAACAAATAAATAATACAAACAACATAATTATAATGTAACAAATAAATGTAACAAATAAGTAACAATAACATAATTATAATGTAACAAACAAATTAATAATACAAACAACATAATTATAATGTAACAAACAACATAATTATAATGTAACAAATAAGTAATAATAAATAATAAATTTTGAACGTAACAAATAAATAATACAAACAATAAATAATAATATCTTGTTACCATATCCGAGTAATTTTCCCCACTTCGAATATTACTACTAGCTTGTGCCAAAGCGTCTCTCCACGTACTAAACGATTGGCTAAGTAATTTCCAACGACTGGACATCGATTCTTTGGTTCTTTTCCCACCAATTTTCTCAAGATAATTGGTATGAATAAGACTCCACATTTCTCGCAACTGCATCTCATTACCCGTAAGCGAACTATGAGTAACTTCAACCCAGCTAGTACACAACGCAACATCTTCAATAAGCGACCAATTCGTACCTGCACCAGTGGTCATTTTGTTGAAAAAAAATGGATTCAAACTTTGAGACAAAGAAAGGAATGTGATTGAAAGTAGTTGAGAAAATATGAAATTGTTGTGAAGGTAGATGATAATGAGAAGGTATTTATAGAAAAGTAAAAACAATTTTTTTTTACAATTTTTTTCAGATTTTTCAGATATTTTTTTGAATTTTTTTGAATTTTTTACATTTTTTTTTAAATTTTTATTCAATTAATTAATCTCTGCCGTTGGATATAAAAAAATTTGAATTCCAACGCTCCAG